GTGCTGTACAATGTGAAGTATGGCTGATAGGCGCAAAATATGAGTTGTGTCTTTGCTAGAAATTTTTAAGGTATTTTCTATGTTGCTGTCCTGACTAATCATCTCATTTTCTCTGTCTTCTATAATATTAAATAAACATTTTTTTTATTATTTGAATTTAAATATATACTTATTTCCACATAAGTGCAACGCGTATTTTCCATTATTTTTGAATGAATTTTCTATTTAAAATACTAACAAATATAAATTTATAAACAAAATGTTTAAAATAAATGGATAAATCTATTGTATTTATTTAGTCAAAAGAATTTCAATTGCATAAAAAATTGTAAATGAGTATTAAGTGGCATCTTACTATTGTGACGTCATAATAGAACTTCGCAAAAACTCAGTTTTTCATGACGTATTTCATATAACGAAATTCACAAAAAATATTTTGAAATAAATACATTTATTGTACTCACCTAAAATTGGCACAATATTATCCTGATAAACAGATATATATGCCCATATTATCATAATAAGCTACCATTTTCAAAAAAGCAAATAATTTCTTTATTCCCAAAATAAATAAAATCAATAACATTTAACTTTATATTTCACACATGTGCGTGTAATTAAGCTTTCTGACTTATTACTTTTTTGCCATATGATTATTAAATATGCCTTCCTCGGATCCATACTTAGAATTAATAAATTCTGCGTATGAATCGGATTTGCTCTGCCTCCCTGGATAAAGTGTAAAGGCATCCTTTAACATGCTCCTCATAAATGTTTGACATAATTTCTACCAGATCAAGTAGTCCTGTTTCCCTAAGTTTTGGAAGGAATTCTTTTGTAACCGATGACGGGTGGAATACGGGCCTGGCCACGAAAAACAGAAAACGGTCAATGAGACCGTCATCTCCTCCTAGACATACACGTTCCTGCATCAAGGGTTGTGGTTGTATAAACAGACAACAAGAAATTGATGTTTTATCAAATCCCCTCTGCCCGGTCACTAAAGTGGACGAATCTCCCTTTCCTCCTCACATCTTGCATAGTAGAGCTCGCTCTCCTTCACCTTTGGATTGTTTGACATTTAGGTCAAAAATCTGTGTCCCTCGTCTCCGGTCACTAAGCCATATTCTGAATTATCTGACTGGTGTTTTGAAGACCAGCAGTAGCGTAGGTTTCCAATTGTAAATTCATACTATGTTTCCTTTTCATATTTATACCCCCGCAAACGAAGTTTAGGGGGGTATATTGGAATCAGCATGTCCGTCTGTCTGTCCGTCTGTCTGTCTGTCTGTCTGTCTGTAGACAAGATTTTGTCCGGACCGTTTCTCAGAACCTATGGGATGGATTTGTCTGAATATTTGTACACTTATTATTCATCATATGAAGTTGTGCACCTGGTATTTTCATCATGATTGGATAATTTTTCTGCATTTTACAGGTGTTTTTTCTTTTTTATTTTATGGTTTTGTTTGGCTCATAACTAGAAAACTATTAGACTGACAATCATCAAACTTGGACAGTTTATGCATCTTGGGTAGAAGATGTGTCATGACCTATTTTTAAGGTCACCGTGACCTTTAATTTAAGTGAAATTTCAAAAAGAAACCTGTCTTTTACTATTGAATTACACAATCCCAAAAATGTAAGAGTGTTTCTGTATCCCTGTTTAAAAATGTTAAATTAAGAAAATAATATTTTTTCATTATATACTTTACAGCAATCCATATCAAATGTTATTTTATAAGAGATAATCTACCTCTCCCAAGGGTATAATTATCAAGCACTGGTCAAGGAGAATTTTGATAACAGAAAATTGCATCCCTTGGCATTTATCAGTGGACGTGCATCCAGTCAAAGATTAATTAATGAGTTCAATGTAGGAAAGCTAGCTGTCTCAATCATTTCTGTTAGCTGTTATCTCTGATTAAGGTCCTTTGGGAATTAGACAGAGGAACTGCTGGTCAGTTTAAATAGAATATGTCATTTGATGGCCAGCCTTCTATTTCTAAAATCAATTTGTTATAGATTAAGTTTTTAATACTAATTAGTTAAATTGATATATTTAAAAAAAAATTAAAATATCAAGTAACAAATTTCAGAGCATCATGTCCCACATGAAAGATATATGCATATGTGTTTTTTTGTGGGGGAGGAGCATTTGTCAAGCTATAATGCAACCATTTGATGATTATTTGTTATAATTAATGCTTACACCACACGAGTTGTTTTAACAAATATCAAAAGGAAAAAAAAATATGGAAATCCTTTTAAAGGTTGCCATGATTTCCTCACACTCTAAACTGTTTATATTAATTGAATGAACAAATTTGACTGGAGTATCATGCTGTGTTGGGCACATTATTATTTTTAAAATGAATTTGACATAAAGTTATAAAGATTAATTTGATTCTGTATAATATTTCTTTTTTCAACAATTATTTTTCAGAGTAGCATGACAAATAATTGCAATTTCTTTTTTTAATGAAATTAAGAAAAAAAAACTGTTACAGTGTATTAGTATTGATGTTTTATTTGGTTGCACCTTAGATTCATAAATTGAAAAAAATTAATGAGCATGCAATTATATTTTCACCGCATTGAATTATATTTTCACTCGATTTGTTTTAAGACAATACTGAACACCTCTTAATAGATCCATAAAATTTTTGTGAATTGGCACCTACTCTGAAAAAACACAGCGGGGGTATTTGTCCCTGTTGGACAGTTCTAGTTTCAAAAACCGGGTCAAGGATCCGATAAGAAGTGTTTGACTTTCCTCCTCCTGGGGCGCAAACATTAATAATGAACTGGTTCAATACCGTAGTAAACTCGCAACTTTCAACAGCTACTTTTGTCAAAGGCCCACACAACACGGCAGTCATAGAAATAAGGTTGGATGTTACCATAGTTTTGGCACAGTTTGTGGCTTTTTCAGATAGTGTTAGCCAATTGTCCACTTTTTCGCTGAATACGAATTTACAAGGAATGGCAATTCCATAAGAATTTTTGTACAATTTGAAAATATCTTCAGACTGAATCCTCCTTGCCCCTGCCATGATCGATTTCAATGTTTGTTTGTTGTCACCATCAACGTTTATGACGTCATGATTTTAAAACCGTTGTAGGGAAAATTTTTCAATATACATCTCAAATTTAAATGTTTATTTTTTAACTTAACTGACGTCATTGAGTACATCTAAACGGTAAAAATGGCTGGGAAATTGAACGAAAACTATTTAAGATCACCTAAAGCATTTGATTTTTACAGAATTATTTCTGATAAAAATGAATTAATTTCTTACTTGATGACGAAAAATATTTTGATGAATCGGATGATTTGCGATATTTGCGATTCAGAGATGAATTTAATATGCGGCTATGCCGCAAAGACATATCGGATAAGAAACAATGGAAATGTATCATTTGTCTATCAACATGCTCAATACGGAAAAATTCCATATTTGAGGTAAATAATGTTTTGTATTTTTATTTTTACTGATAAATAAACAAAGAATTGGTAAACTTTTTCATTAAATCCAAATGCTTAAAAAAATCCCTAACACATGTTACCTGTATAATTTATATTACTTCATCAGAATTCCAAGATGCCGTTGGAAAAGCTTGCAGAATTAATTTATTATTTTGGCATGGATTTTCAAATCTACGAAGTCGAAAAATTAATGGACATCAACCATAAAACAGCCATAGAATGGTATGACAAATTAAAATCTTTGACAGTGGATTTTCTAAAAAAAAAGATCCTATTATTTTAGAAGAAAGCCTGGATTGAAATTGGATCATTCGCCAGGTGTGAAGAGGCAAGGGAAGGCTCTGACCTCTCACTCCGATGAAGGACATAAGGTGGTGTGATCTTTTCTGTGGTCTTTTCCTGGACTGGTGATGCTGGAACAGGAGGTGCAGGAGTGACAGTGTCCAGGAGGTCCAGGAAGCTCCAGTCAATGGATCCCTCAAAATTCAGGGGCTCAACAATTGGATCGGGAGGCATCGTACCAGCAGAGGCAGCAACAATGGGATCGGGAGGCATCGTACCAGAGGGGGCAGCAACAGGTGTCGCTACACCAACTGCAAATGAAGGTGTAGTCACTTGCACAGGAGCAGCTGAAAATGAGGAACAGGTGTCAGGCCAGCAAAGGAGGTGGAGGCAGACACAGGTAGAGGTACACAGAAGTGGAAGCAGAAACAGGTTTTGGTGGGGCTGAAAGAACAGGCACTGCTGCTGTCCGGGAGTCTTTTGAGGAGAAGGTAACATCAAGGTCATGGAAACTTGGCATAGATAGAAACTGGTCAGCAGACTTGATGACATTCCTTTTTTGGGACACTGACCTCTGGCTCTCAGGCCCATATAAGTCCACTTCCATGGGGCTGCCAAGGGAAATCGAAACTGAAGGAGATCGCAATGGCGTCAGGGGGGCAGGAACAGAAGATGAAGAGTGGCTCACAGTAGTGGCTGTAGTGGCTGCCTGGGGAGCCTGGGACACACGTGATGATGGGCCCTTCCTAGGAAAACTCCTAGCCTTCCTGGGAGAACGTCTTTGGACTCTGGCTCTGACTTCTGGGAAGGTAATGATGGGGGAAGGAGGTGCCTGGCAAAAGGATGCTCCGCGTCTTACATTATACCGAAACTGCCTTTCCAGAGTGCTGCCTCTCTATGTGCTCAATCATAAGGTACTTCCTAGTGGCGGGCAGCTCGTAACGGCAATGGTGGCACTCAAGAACGTCCTCATGAATTTCATTAAAATGGCGTGCCAGCTGTCTTCTCGACTTGAAGGTTCTACGGCAAAGACGACAATCGAGCATCTGTAGAAAATAAATTAGGTATGATATACTCTTTTATACAGCAAGCAATGTAATGATTATACACAAGTACATGTGTATTTATATAGAAAAAAAGATTTTTTTTTTCTTAATTTTTTTCCTTAATATCTCTTATTTCTAATATTTTTAATTCTCTTAATATTTGCAGATTAATGAGTGCCAGTCTATGCCCTTCCTAAATAGGGCCTGAGGAGATTCTGATGCACAACCCTTTTCTTCTCTGAAGGACCTCGAGAAATTTCGTAAGATCAGAAATTTTCTGGGTAATAGTATAGGGTCCCTCCCACTTCCTGCAAAATTTGGGGTGCATTTTTACAGTCATGTGAATATTTAATAATACAAACTCACCCACACTGTATTGATATTGTTTTGCATTGTGGTCATATTTTCTCTTTTGTCTAGCTCCAGGCTTTAACATTTGTGACCTGGCCAGTTCATGCACATCAAACATTGTACTCTGTAAATCTAAAGCATAGTCACTGTAAGAACCAGTGGGGACTCTGGGGGTGGCATGACGGTCAAATAATAAATCAATAGGAAGCTCAACTTCTCTGCCAAGCATAAGTAAACTTAGGGTCTCTCCAGTACCCTCATGTATTGAAGACCTGTAAGCTAACATAAGCAGGGGCAAGTACAAATCCCAATCTCTGGGGTGATTATCAACATATTTGTTAAGCATGCATTTTAAAGTTCGATTAAATCTTTCGACAAGACCGTCACTCTGGGGATGGTAGGGGTTGTTCTTGTTTTATCTATGCCTAATATTTTGCATATTTCTTTGAACAGATCGGACTCAAACCGAGTACCTTGGTCCGTATGTACTTGCCGGGGGACACCAAACCTACAGACAAATTGAAAAACAAAGGTTTGTGCCACTGTAGAAGCTTCAATATTAGTCAAAGGAAAACCCTCTGTCCAGTTAGTGAAGTAATCGCTTACAGTATGTAAAGTTTTCCTGCTTTTGTTCGGGGCAACGGGCCAAATATATCGATAGCCACTCTCTCCATGGGAGCACCAACAAAACATTGTCTCATTTGAGCTTTGGGTTGTTTTGTAACAGCTAGGGTTGTGTATTTGACAAACAGGACACTCTTGACACCATTTTATGATATCTCTTTTATTGTTAGGCCAATAAAACCTCTGACGGACTCGATGCAAAGTTCGGAGCACTCCAAAGTGACCGACTGAAGGGGCTGCATGCAATATGTCGAAGACTTCCTGTCAAAAACAAGAGGGTAAGACAACTTGGGCTATGTGCAAATCAAATTGTGTACCTTTCCATATTTTCGGTATAGAATGTCATTGTCCAAGGTTAGACGATCCCATTGAGACCAATATGCTTGCAGATCTAAATTCAAATGTGAAATTTCTTCCCATTTAGGACGAATGGAACTTAATTTCCACTTGTACACTATTGAGATAATAGGGTCGTTAAGTTGTGAGGTTTTTAATTCAGCTTCCTTTGAAATTTTCCAAGTCTCAGATAAGGTATTGTCATTTGACCTTCAACCTCATTATATTGGTCTAGATATTCTGTGTTAGAAATGGGACATCTTTCTTTCTGCTTAACAACACACACTTTGTCAAAGCATTCTTTTTGTTGGGTTGTCTCAACCTCTCTGTCTTCTTTTCTTTTACAGTACTGACACTCTCCACAGGGACGTCTTGACAGACCATCAACATTTCCATGGGACTTTCCGGGACGAGGTAAATATGGTAAAATTGTAAACTGAAAGAACTTCCATCGAACGTGCCATTTGACCCTCAGGATTTTTGAAATGCATCAACCAGTTGAGGGCACCATGATCAGTCCTGATTGTAAAATCGCTACCATAAAGATAATGATGAAAGTGCTTCACACTCTCAACCACTGCCAGGAGCTCTCTTCGAGTAACACAGTAACTGCGCTCAGGTCTGGAAAGTGATTTACTAAAGTAGGCAATCACCTGTTCTTTGCCATCTTTAATTTGGGAAAGGACGCCACCTAGGCAAAAAGCACTCGCATCGGTATCTAAAACAAAATCTAAATTCATATCAGGATAACCCAGTACAGGTGTACTTGTGAGACAGTCTTTAAGTGTCTGAAATGAAATTTGACAGTCTTTAAGTGTCTGAAATGAAATTTGACAATCTTCTGACCAACAAAATTCAGAATCTTTTTCTGTTAGTTTGAACAGGGGCTTTGCAATGTCACTAAATGACTTGATAAAGCGTCTATAATAGGCACAAGTACCAAGGAAACTTCTCAGCTCACTGATAGATTTAGGTTCAGGCCAAGATTTGATAGCTTTTGTTTTCTCGGGGTCAGTAGATATACCATGTGCACTGACTATATGTCCTAAAAAGGAAACTTGCTTCTGAAACAGACTACATTTCTTGGAGGAGATCTTGAGATTGGCACTTTGTAATTTATTCAAAACAGTAGATAACCTCTCAAGATGCTGCTCAAAAGTTTAAGAAAATACTATGATGTCGTCAATGTACAACAAACATATTTCAAAAATGAGTCCACTTAAAACACATTCCATAAGACGCTGAAAAGTCGCGGGGGCATTGCAAAGTCCGAAAGACATAACTTTAAATTGATACAAGCCAACATTAGTGACAAATGATGTTTTCTCAGCATCACAGCTTTTCATGGGGATCTGCCAAAACCCGCTTTGTAGATCAAGAGTAGAGAACCATTCTGAACCTCTGAGTGCATCTAAAGAGTCGTCAATACGGGGAAGGGGAGAGGAATCTTTTATTATTATTGTCGTCATAGGTATTTCCTGTGTGAACAGAGTGGTGGATCTGTGTGGTTTTTATGTCACGTGACATGGTCATATAACATTTCGCTTTGACTATTTCTCTTTTTAGGTGCGTGCTTCAAAAATTACTCTACCGCTCGGACAGAACGTGTAAGGAATGGAAACCAGTACAGCGAGTTCGGATGTGCAATATTTTGAAGAAGTTTTATTGGGCGAGTCTAATGAACAATTTGATTAATTTGAGGATGCATTTTGTAATTTCTTTGTTTATATAGTTCATTGGCTGAAAAGCTTTTTCAACAGCAGAATGAGGTCATCGTGAGTTCTATTGTGAAGCAAATTAATAAAAAACCTATTAATCCCGCCACGAATACCGGGCACGAGGAAAGCGCACGAGAGGATACGAAACACAACCAATTTGATTTCAAACATGAGGGACACGTATGCATATTCCATGCAAAACCGCAGACAGAATGCATTTGCTGCCAATGACTTTTTTATCAATATCAGCCAAAAATTCGTTTACTACAGGGGCATACAAGCAATTCGTCAAGCCAACCGAATACGGCGCAGGTCAACAGACTTTATTCAGCATACATTTAATACAGAGAGAATAGAGAAGTTGGATGAAATAAAGAACTTTATAGAGAAGAAAGATTCGGAGAGTGCAGCAGTGACGATTGAAAAGGAAATTGGTGAGTTGCGACAACGTAACAAGATTCTTAAAAGAGCAGACAGGCACGGGTGGGATACTGTCAACGAATATTTAGACGATCCACTAGCAGACAACAATGACGACGCCGTTAAGTTACGGGGCGCAGTTAACCGTGCTGTTCGTAAGCGTAATTACAGAGGGAAGCCGTATGCATATTCCATGCAAAACCGCAGACAGAATGCATTTGCTGCCAATGACTTTTTTAGCACTTTCGGCCAAACGTTTACTAAGGGGCATACAAGCAATTCGTCAAGCCAACCGAATACGGCGCAGGTCAACAGACTTTTGAACGGAAGTGCTTTTTCTGCAGACAGGCTGGACATTACGTCAGGGACTGCCCATTTGCAAGAGGACAACAAGTTCCAGTGTCAACTTCCACAGTCGCATCGGCCTCTAGCAACGTTAACAAGCAGTACATGTAGTAGAGAACAAGTTGAGTATAGTGAAAATGAAGGCTGTATGAGTGATTCTCTCGTATTCAAGTATGAGTTCAAACACGTGTTCGACGATGTCAGTAAAGTTTCGGTTAAAAAATTGTTTACAATTTTGGAAGGGTAACGCCGTCTATGAAACGTATTTGTTAAAAATACTATTCAGTTCAGCTTATGTAATTCCATTTATTCATTCGCCGCCTAAATTTGTATATTTTTAAAAAACAATAAGTCGGCTCATATTCACAGTGATTTTGTTTGTACAGCCATCAATGATCTTTTAAATTCTTGTTGTATTCACGAAATATCTGAAGAAAAAATACATGTCGTTAATCCACTTACTGTTTCAGTGAACAGCAAAGGTAAAAAAAGGTTGGTGTTAGATCTTCGACATGTAAATCAATTTGTAGAAAAACAAAAGGTTAAGTTGTGTGACGATCAACAAGGAAAGCGAAAAAGAGAGAGGCTTTACAATATTTATTAAAACAGGGAATAAAATTTACACAAAATCTGATTAAGTTTGACTTAAAATCGGGTTATCACCATACTGATATACATCCTGACTTTCACAAATATTTAGTTTTTTCTTGGAAGTATGGTGACAATTTCAGATTTTTCGAATTTTATGTGTTACCTTTTGGTATATCCTCAGCAGGGCATGTTTTTACAAAAGTAGTGAGAGTTTTAGTGAAATATATAAAATGATTCGTGCGGTATACCTGTGGGGGTAAATATGTGTTTTATCAATGCCAATACGATGGTAAGTGGTTTGTATTTATGAAAACAGCTATAATCAGCAATGCATCGTAACTGCATGTCAATGTACACAATACATGGCGGATATCGTTACAGTTATTCCAAAACATTTCACCCTATCGTAACTAAAGGTTGAAATCAGGTCACTAAAATCATTACGGGAAAAGTCGCAATCTCCGTGAAAATGCAGTTTTTAAAATATAATGGCATAACAATGACAGCTAGGCCAAAGCTGTCACAATATTGAACAAAAAATATCGCCTTTTAATTTGCTGACTACATTGCTATTCGGTCTTTCTGTGTTAAATTTAAAGGAACCAAATTAAAGCCAGCATGTGATATACACAGTCATAACCTCTACTTTGTGTTATTTACTGACAGTCATTCTACCAATCTCAATTTAAAATTATTTGTGTGAAACCCTCTATCAATGCACTCATCTCTCGTATTCAAGTAACTGTGTTCTCTGGAAACACGTGTAGAGCTGTCAGCACGCAAAATTCATTCCTTATATATTTGATAAATTTATGTAAATTACGATCATTAATATTCAATTTATTTTACAAACGTAAACTCATTTAGATCTATGTCACAATTGCTTCTCGTCTCATTAAAAGACGATCACTAATTCATTCCTTAAATACCTGGTACATTTATGTAAATTACTATCATTAATATTCAATTACTAGTAATTTTACAAATGTAAACTCATTTAGACCTATGTCACATTAGCAAATAAATGCGCAATGTCCGTAACTACTTAAACGTATACTATACTTGGGCCGTGTTTCCTAACTGGCAAAGACTTTGATATAAAGTTATCAAGATTAATTTGATTTTGTATAATAGGCATTTTTTCAACAATCAGTTTGCAGGGTGTCATGACATATAATTGCAATATATTTCTTTAATGAAGAAATTAAAAGAAAATGTTACAATGGAATTACAATGTATTAGTATTGATGTAATATTTGGTTGCACCTTTGTTTCATTCATTAAGAAATATAATGAGCAATTATATTTTCACTGCAAATTTTTGTAAGAAAAATGTGAACACCTCTAGATCCATTAAGTATTTGTGAATTGGCACATTCTCTGAAAAATCCAAGGGGGTGGGGGTATTTGTCCCTATTGGACAGTTCTAGTTAACCTTGCCGGTAGCTTTCTTTTCCTCCAGTCCTCCTCACTTTCTAAATTAGATGTTTCCTCTGCTTTTTTCAGGGTTTTTTCTAGCCGTTTCATAGTCCTCATAATCTGTTAAATTTAAAAATAATTATACATTTATAACATTCATTATTGTCTTGCGCTTGTCATCTTGTGCATTATAATTTTCTTTTTAAAAAATCTCATATTTAAGAATGCAATTCAAATCCTTATCTTTTCCAATTTTTCTAAATCAGAATTTTTTCCAGTTTTCTTTTCAGGCAATGACATTTTTTGAAATTTTCTTTTGGCATGCGGATTTGGCCAATAGCAGTATTGCTTCAAATAAAAAAAAGCCATTTTAAAATATGTCAAAATTGGATAAATCTGGATATAAAGACATAATTTGAAAAAAAAATTATACGATTACTGAAAAATTAATTCTCTAACTTTTAACATATTTAACTCAATTAAGAGCAACATTCATATAATGGAGACTTTTTTTCAATCACTTTTCAATCACGAAAAAAATCAATGTTTTCAAAGTTATTTTTTTACCTACCCCTTCCAGCCATGACTTTAGGACGCATTCTACACTTTCATCATTCACAAAATGTACAACTGCAAACATGATTCGTAGGCATCCAAAAATTTAAAAAAAATTCTATATAATAATTTGCTGAAAGTTTAAGTAGAGAAATATATGAATCATTATGGTATTTATTTTAATTTTTGTAAGTAATTAGCATTTATATGTTAGGTCATCTGAGTACATCAATGTTTTGGATATTAATAATTTAAACAAGAGCCCGTCTTCATCATTCACGCTGTAACACGTGTCCCAGTTTTCGTTTGTCTACACACATGAGCCATTCCTCACTTTGTTTTTCAATGACAGCCTCCCCAGCTAAATCCAAGGCCATCCAGACTGTGGAGTAATCCATCAGTCCCCTGGCAAGCCAGCCGATCTTGTCATACATCCTCCTTGTTTCTTTGACCGATGTCAAGGAGAGTGACTTGGCCTCTAGAAATTCCAGCAACAATTCCAGTCTCACTTTGGTAATAGTGACGGAAAATGCCGTTGCATACGCAATACCAGTTGCTCTCTGATCTGCGTCTGTCTTGCTGCGAATTTTACATTAAACCGAATATTCAAAGTAATTTTTATTTGATATTATTGCACCGACTTCAACTTTATTGCTTTAATGGAACTTTATTTAAAATTACTTATTGAGTTGGCTCGCATAGCGAGCTACTCTCTGTCGACACAGCCGTTTCAGAGCTGTAAAATTTTTCACACATT